GAGCTCAGCCCTAATAATAATCAGTTTTAGACTAATGGTGCCCTAACAGAGGGTTAAAGATCTCAAGGCTTGGGTGGCACATTGTATGTTAATGCACCTTTTACCTGTCCCTCACTCCATCCCCTAACTGCACATTGTGAGATATTCCAAGCAATACAAGCTGTCCATAGAGTCCTATGTATAAACCTGCTATTAGAAATATATATTATATATTTAACACTATCTGCATGGAGTTTGCATGTTCTCCCTGTGTGGGTTTCCTCCGTGCACTCTGGTTTCCTGCCACACTCCAAAGACATGCTGGAAGGTAATTGGCTCCTGTATAAATTGGCCCCGTATGTATGTGAGATAGATAGATACCTTAGAGTGTAAGCTCCTTGAGGGAAGGGACTGATGCTATGTGCACCATGTAAGGCGCTGTGTAAATTGTCAGCGCTATATAAATACCAATAATCAATAAATAAATGTAATATGTGAAGGCTTGCTGTGTGAATGGGAACACATCACAAGCATGTAGTGCGGATTTCTGGAATTCCCCTTTAAGCCTCATTGCTGGGGGGACACACGGTGGTGCTCAATGCCTCGGCTTCTGCTGCATCCTGATAACAGCTTTGTGTTGTATGGCAGCACAGTGGAGGCAAATTCTTCTGCTGGAGGACACAGAGACACAGCCAGGAATCTGAGAACAAAGTCATCAGGAAAACACTTTTTTTTCCCTGCACTTCATTAGTATTGTTTTTGTTCACCTTTCGGCACATTTTCCAAAACATCCGCCATGCTTCCCATCATCCCCAGCACATTGCAAAGCATTGTTCAGGTGATAAATAAGCCGTGCCTTTCCCATTGAATGTCTGTAGGTCCCACATGACCTTTCTGCAAAAGCCAGGGGTAGGCAAACTCCAGGCCCTGCAGCTGTGGTGAATCTACAGATCCCATCATGCCACTGAAAGACATGCTTGTGGCTGTCAGAGTCTTGCAATGCCTGATGGGATTTGTAGTTGCATCACAGCTGGAGAACCAGAGTTTGCCTACCCGTGGTCTAGATAGCTGACCCCCTCCGTCCTGTTTTGGACAGACTAGACCAGGGGTGGGCAAACTCTGGCCCTCCAGCTGTGGTGCAACTACAAATCCCATCAGGCATTGCAAGGCTCTCACAGCTGTTGTGGAACTACACGTCCCATGAGGCATTGCAAGACTGACAATTAAAGGTATGACTCCCAGAGGCATGTTGGGATTTGTAGTTAAAGCACAGCTGGAGGGCCGGAATTGCCCACCCCGAGCTAGATGTTAGAAGTGCGCCCCCAGTGGCAGCTCCAAGTTTAGGCCCATGTGTGCTGCGCTTAGGATTGCCACCTGTCCAGGATTCACCCGGACAGTCCGGGTTTTGAATGCTGTGTCCGAGTTTCCTGGCAGCAGAAACCCGGGCACAAGATGTCAGGGAGACAGGGGCAACCAAAATAAGATAGGGGCTACTGGCCCCCCACTGAAAATAGTCTCAACACTGATATTTCCATATGAATAAGCCACCACTCATTCTCCCCAAACAAATGTCTGCTCATCGCTACAGTGTTCGGGTTTCACTTGAAGAAAAGGTGGCAACCCTAGCTGTGCTCAGTCCCCCCTTGCAGCAGCAGCTGAGCTCACTTTTCAGTTATTCGGACAGCTGTGGGTCCCGCCTGTTAGAATACAGGAGCCACAGAGGGAGATTCGTCCATCTGCACTGTTTAGCTAGGATGGGGGAATCTGGCCATCCTCAAATTACATAGGGGTTATGCACAAAAGAGCCGAAGGATCCAGCCGTAGCTTTGGCTAATCCTTCGGCTTATTACAGCCACCGTAGCCCTTTGGCTCAGCTGAACTGAAGAGCTGCTGTATGGGCTATTCACAATAGCAGCCGAACAGCTCAGCCGAGCCGAACACACAGCCAGAGCGGGGAGAATGGTCACCGAGGAAGGGATGACACAGAGCCAGCGTCTGCCTCCTGACACCGCGCCGCCTGTGCTGGCCTCATTCAGCTCCTGGCAACCGTGCCGTTTGCTATGGCTTCAGTCTTCCAATTGTTCACCTCTCGGAGGTCTGAGCAGAAAATCAGCTCAGAATGAGCTCCGCCGGGACCCGGCCAGAAGAAGACAAGTCCAAGCATGCCGCTAATCCAGACGACTGCCAATGTTTGTTTGTTTTTTGTGCTTGGACGGTGGCTGTGACTGGCGTACATCTGCTGGTGGAAACTTTTCCTGTGGTCATAATGAGCACTAATGGTCCTGGAAATGTTCTCCATTTTTATTGAAGTTGTAGAGTTTGCTGTTTTTTCAAGAGCGCTGAGGGATTTGGACTCTGGCGACCTTCACTCCTTCTACGGAACATGTGGACAAGCAATGGCACTGCAAGCGCGTCGCACGTTGCATGTTTTTGGCGCGTTCACCCAACGCAATGGTGTAAACCCGGGCTTAGTGGCGTCCCTTCATGTTGTCGTTGCAGCTAAACTCCGGGATACACAGATACTGTCTAAACCAAGGGCAGGCCACAAGAACAAGCAAAATATGGCACGTATGAATCCTTAAAAAAATATATAGAAGTGTGCCCATAGGGCATGTTACCACACAATGTGTCACGTTTTATCGTGCGCTACTTTAGGAAGGGACACACAGGAAGGGAAGGGACCACAAAATGGGCATGCAGCATTTTTCTTTATGTATTGTGGTGCAATGCATTGCCTTAGGGCCTTAGGGGCACCTTTTACAATTAGTGTCACTGCAACGTGCTAACGCATGTGACGTGATCGCAACCTGATCGCAAAAGTGTTTTTCAGCCCTTGCTGTCTGTAAACTGGCGTAAGAGGATGTAGGCTTGCAGGAAACAGAAAGCTAAGTGTGGTCATCGCCTTTGTAGGTGATCACCATTGTGGGTGGTCTTCGCCATTGTAAGTTGTCTTTAACAGGGTGGGTGGTCATTGCTGGTATGGGTTGTCTTCAACAGTGTGGGCGGTCATCCCCAGTGTGGTTAGCCTTCAACAGTGTGGTAGCCTTCAACAGTGTGGGTGGTCTTCAACAGGGTAGGTGGTCATCGCCAGTGTGGGTTGTCTTCAACAGTGTGGGCAGTCTTCACCATTATTGGCAGTCATTGCCAGTGTGAATGGTTTTCCCCAGTCTGTGCTATCTTCACCATTGTGGGTGGCCATCATTAGTATGGGTGGTCATCGCCAGTGTGAGTGGCCTTGAACAGTGTTGGTGGTCTTCACCATTATGAGTGGTCATCACAAGTGTGGGTGGTCATTGCCAGTGAGTGGCCTTCAACAGTGTGGGTGGTGTTCACCATTATGGGTAGTCATCCCTAGTGTGAATGGTTTTCCCCAGGGTAGGCCATCTTCACCATTGTGGATGGTCATCACTAGTATGGGTGGTCATCACCACTGCGAGTGGTCATTGCCAGTGTAGGTAGTCATCACCAGTGTGGGTGGTCTACACCAATGTGGTGATTTTCACTAGCCATCCATAGCAGCCATGCTGTACATTCACGAAGCCCAGCAGGGATAGAAAAAACACAAATGGTTTTTGTATTACATTGCACATTTATGGCATCTTCCATATCTCACCCGTGTTTTTATCTGGTTTCCTGCACTTGCATTATAAATAGTTGAGTGTTACAATATTCTGCTTGTTTTGAACGTTAGGGACATCAGTAAAATGATAACATTTATCACCTCTATAATAATGATGATGTGTAGACAAGTATATTATTCTGACTCCGATCGTTGTGATAGCGAAATATATCTTGCTGAGACCTCTATGCCTGGCCTGTATAAGCAGATATACTCACTGCGGACAATCCTCGTCAGATAGCTGAACTCGTCAATACCGATTCATTCAAAAGAGGTGTTTATTCTTTACATCAGGATTACAGCAGATGATAGGAACAGCAGTTGAATGGTTATAGTATTGTGCGGTCAGAAAATGATGCCTTTCCTCCGTACTGTGCAGATTACCTGTGTGTCCTTGTTACATGTGGCTTTTAACTGTGGCCATGACACAGGAAGAAGGAAGGGGCGTACACTAGGGGGAAATACGTCGTCACACGAGGAATAATTACAGAAAGCATGTTTGTTACAACAAAAGGCCACTAGATGGCAGCATAGGATAACACATGAATTTAGCTATGAGAAAATAGTTAGGCAAATCACACTATATAAATTCTAACCTATATAACAATGCTAATATTAACTGAGGCTATGCATCTCATATTCTATGCCCCTATTGGGGCGGCACATATATAGAATTTATAGTCTTCTATAAAAGTAATTTCCATTAAAAACTTCCGTTGTGATGATGCATGTGTATGTCTGCTATAAAATTGATGCTTCTAGGGAAGTATTGACAAGAAAGTACTTTACACACACACAGGTAGTTCTGTGCAATGAAACTTTTGCTTTTAGGTTGTATTTTTGTAAACTCTGCACACTGGGTGTAACAAAAATGCCTTATTTTTACCTCTGGACCCACCCCACACACCTAGATTGGTATGGGGTATTCTGATATCTTGTATAAATGAGGCATTAATGATTATCAGTGATAGGGTTGCCACCTTTTCTTCAAGCGAAACCCGAACACTCTAGTGACGCTCGGACATTTTTTGGGAGAATGGGTCGCGGCTTATTCATATGGAAATAGTGTCACCCATTCATATGTAAATATCACAGTTGAGACTATTTTCAGTGGGGGGGCAAGTAGCCCCTATCTTAATTTTGGTTGCCGCTGTCTGCCTGACATCTTGTGTCCGGGTTTCTGCCGCCATGAAACCCAGACACAGCATTCAAAACCCGGACTGTCCGGGTGAATCCTGGACAGGTGGCAACCCTAATCAGTGATATTCTACAGAGGAGATTAATTTTTTTAGGTTTATGAAAAAAAATCCCTAGGTGGTGACTTGTGTTTTATTTACTGAAACTGTACACGCTCATAAGATAGCATGTGTCTGACATAATGTTTTAACATTTTCTCTATAGGTATATGGGATAATACGCAGCAGATTCCCCTTCTGGGCAGCTCTGAGGTTTGCACAGAAAGTCCCCAGATCTTCTGCTTCCAGTGTCGCGCTGCACGGTAAGATATCAGGAAAGTTTTCTCAATTAATATTAGACTTAGCTGCTATCTGACCCTATGTTCCCAAAGCAGACAGTCCAATGGAGCTTCTGTAGGTCTGATGTAGAGATCTCTGTTAGGGTATAGCCCTATATATATTTTAAAAAAAAAAGTGATATAACTTTAGGCCCTTTAACAAAATTGCACAAAGGGTTTCTTAGAGTTGCCTGGGAGCCCCCTAAATCGTATAAACAAATACCAATATGGTGACAGAACAAGCACACCACACCTGCCTCCATGTGGAAGCAATATGGCCTCTGGATATTCTGACGTGGCATGGAGCATTGTATTGTGGGATGTGGGGTAAGTGCTACAAGGGTGACCTAGTAGGCAATGATGAAGCAGTTTGGGTTGTGTGTATCTATGGCACCTGCAGCTTTGTAAGTTATTTTTTTCCATCATAGATATACTTATTGTAGAACTGTGGCCAGGCAGTGGATATTCAAATATTTACATATTGTATTCTTAACCGTCAGCAAATTAACTTTAAATCAAGCTCTCACTGACCTCTGCACACCTCAGTGTTCACCAAATCAGCTGCAGCTGTGGCATTTCCTGCTCTGCAGCTGATTGGGCATCCCGCAGTGCACTGACGTCTGACTTTCAGGTTCAGGTGAGCTCAGGTTCTGACCAAAACCAAGCAAAGCATTCATGTAGGTGGCCTTCTGGGTTTTGTGCTGCCCAGCACCAACGTTTTAGAGTCAAATAAAAACACTGTATGTGCAGGGGGGTTTTCGGGACATTAAAGGAGACACATTTAATTCAGCATCCTCCAGGCCTCTGCAGCAAATGGAATTACAAGAGACACTTTCACTGGACAGGGCGGGTGCAGTGATCATATCCCTCAGCACTCTCAGCATACATTGAAATCTGTAACATCCACCAAATACGGCTTCAGACGATAATGTCCATCTGGCTGTGGCAGCACACTCTCCTGGGACGGCCATATTTCTGTGCCAGGCACAGCACGTGCACCATATTTTGAAGCTGGTTGGAGGGCAGGAACATTGCTCCAGCGCTGGTCACTGTGGCTTTGTGAGAACTACAGGCATTCATCTCCATCTGGAAATTTTCTGAAGAGACGTGAGTGGAGCTGAATAGATTAAATCAGGGCTGGACATTGCGTTCCAGTGCAGGCGATCACACTTTGTTTGGGAGGCGCCTTTGGGGTCCATTGAAATAAATGGCACTGCAACGCACCTCCCGCAGCAGAATTTGTCAGGCGAAAACTGAAAATGACTTTTTTTCCACCTTTTATATATTGTTTTTTTAATAACTGTATTGTGAGCACACGGCGCATGAATAGCTTCAGCCCGGGAATGACAGCTGCCAGGGGCAAGATTCAGCAGGCGGCCGCTGAATGTAAATACAGCAAGTAGTAGGTGGGTGCAATAGCCAGCCTGCTATTGGCCTTTTCATATGGCAAAAGCCAATAGCAGGCTGTCTATTGCAAGACAAGACACAAAGAGCGCCTCCATCGCATAAAAACTTTTTAATAAACGAATTAAAAAAATGCTATAAAGGTACTCGCAAAGGACGAATAAAAACAGGCATAAAAGGGTCAGAACGAAAGGTGCATATCCACCGGCTGTTCGTCTTCCCTGGTAGTGAAGTGGTTTTACGCGTTCTCTGTGTCTTGTCTTGCAGTGCTGAGGTTGGTCTGAACCTGGTGAGAGCTGCCCCGTCATCGCCCTGCACTCCTGAACATCATTGATTAATACTCTCTTGAACCAAAATCTGCTGGCGCGGTGTTTGATTCTGTAGGCTGTCTATTGCACCGGCCCAATGTTTGCTGTGCCCTCCTCCCAGCGTGGAGGAGAGAGCTAGAGGATCCAACCAACTAATCGATAATGAGAATAGTTGACAACTATTCTCGTTATCGATTATTATCGATTAATCGATTAGTTGGTTGCAGCCCTACCTGGATTGTAGAAACTGGCTCCTGAATTCCACATTCATTTGTCCACCCCTGGAGTAAATGGTTCACTTTTGGCGACTGACTATACAGTTTTTCTTGAAGTGTTAATTGTTACTAATTGTAGTAAAGGTGCCAGTAAATTAGAAATTGTAATTTGCACATGAAATATTCTGTTTTGTTCAGTCTGCAGGCGAGGCAGTAGGAGGCGAAGCATTAGACATTGGTGATAAAAGGTGTGCCGGTTGCCCATTTGGGAAAGGCTGGACATATGATATTTTTATAGCCCCCAGTACCATTTATTTCAGTCTGAAAGTGAAGCTGTTTATTCCCCAGAACCTAACTGACCCCATTGATTAAGAAGTCTCCATTACCGGCCCCGACTGGTACTCGTGTAAATTGTCACAAGGGGGTCAAGTTGGGTTCTGATGTGACTCAGTGTTTCTGCCTCCAGAGACGCATTACAATTGATGAAGAAAATCTATCTGCTCATGAGTATGGTCTGCGAGCCTGCGTAAGATGAGTTTATCTCTTCCCGTATTGACTGTGAGAACGCCGATGTGACTAAATGCCATGAAATGAGCAAAGGAGACAACAATTGGAATGAGATCTAACAGTACATGTGTCTGGCTGTGAGGCTGAACTGTTTTTTTTTCCTGCAGCCGATGTAGTAGATTGCACAGGCTGTGCGCAAAGAACATTTAGAGAGGACGCCGTTTCAAGGCTGCCTGAAATATTCCGCTCTACTGGGGGACCCGTTTCCTTCCACCATCTCTTTGTATGCCATTGACCATTTACCTCCATACTCTGCCTTGTGCCATGGCGCTGTCTATATACATAAAGCCCTTTCCACCAGATGAGCATAGTCCTTTACCCAGACACCTTATGCTGCTGAGTACTTTACTCCTTGTTCCATCTAACTTTCAGGATGTGTCTTCCCACTTGAAGCACAGTGTTTTTTCATAAATTTATAACCGTGTACTATGTTCAGGAATAAATAAAAAAAACTATATGCAGTCAGCAGTGGCAAGTGTTGGGTCTATTAATCAACAATTCGCAGAACCATTTGCGAATCTCTGTGAAAGTTTATTCTTCGCAGATAGAGGCAAAAACTAACGTTATTAGTATATTATGTTCTCAGGTCCGGTCAATGTAATACTGCATTGTGGCCACTGGATGGAGCTAAGGAGCAGAGGAAATAAATACTTATTCCTCTGCTCCTCACCTCCATCCAGTGGCCACAATGCAGTATTACATTGCATTTGGCCTGAAAAGAAAATCTTCTATGAACAGTTGATTTTGTCAATGGCACTGCAAATGGTTTATAAATGAGTTTTTCTCTTTCAGCCTTGGGCTAAACAAGGCTTTTAGGTCCCCCATCCACGCTGTTAGCCTGCCCTCCAGTCTATTGTGTTCTGACAACAGCACGTGTGCCACTGTCAAAATACCTGAACAATTATGGCTGCTGTTACTGTTAAGCCGAGATTTTGCAGACTGTCTCGTTCAACAAAAGTGGATTGGAAAATTAGACTTGAGGCGAGTACTTGAGGAAAAGTATCGGTACTCATACTCAGTCTGGAAAAAATGGTATCGGTGCATCAGGGACGTGCGGTCAGGGGAGGCAGGGGAGACGGAGCCTCACCTAGTATTATGGAGGAAAAAGCTGTCAGCTTCAAGACTGAAGCTGAGAGCTTTTTCTCCATTCAGATCAGCTTGTACAAGGTTACACAGCAGGGTAATCCTCCCCGCTGTGTAACCTGTCATGGACGGAGCGCTGCCTGATATCTACAGGCAGAGCTGTATCTGGCTTTTGACAGGTAGTTAGGTTACACAGCAGCGGGCTTTCCCACTGCTTGTGTAACCTAACTAGTGAGGCCAGAGCTGTCACAGCCTCTACCCTGTGTTAGAGGCGTGAGCTCTGTGGATGGTTTGGACCAATGGCAAAGCGCCATTGGTCCAAGCTGTCCAATCAAAAAAAGAAAGAAAAAAAAACACTGAGGCCATCGATCTCGATGCCTCAGCAGTGACAAGCAAGGGAGGGACAGGGAGGCTCCTCCCTGTGTCCTTCCTTCCTCCTTCCTCCCTCCCTCAAACTAGCTTAGTCGCCGGGTTGGAGGGTGGGGCTTGGGCTTTGGCGGGTTGGGGGTGTGGCTATGGCGGGTTGGGGCGGGGCTTCAGTGGGCTGGGGAATGCCTCACCCAAATCCGAAGGTACAGCACGTCACTGCGGTGCATCCCTAGTTACAAGAGAAGCAGCAGACTGGTGTGCTCATCTCTCTGTCAGTTTCTCCTCCTATCAGCAGGCTCCTTGTTAGCCACATGAGGCTACAGTACAACTGATTGGCTCCTTGTTCTACTTCTACCTCTCACAGTCTGAGCTCTGCTGTATCCAGAGGCTGATACCAAGCCAAAAAAAACCTAAATGATGTATTGCTATATACAGAGCTATGGCTTGGAGTTCAGCTTCACGTCAGTATTTATCACTGATTTTATAGCAGTGCTAGTTACTGCAGACTGAGGGCAATCATACCGACCTTTGTGAAAGTGGGCGGGGGTGTCGGGCACCACCGTAACCACGCACTATAAAGCACAGGCACGGCTGTATATATACGTGCCGAGCCGTGCGTGGTGCGTAACTCAGCTCAGCCATATTTAACATCTCGCTGAGCTCCGAGGCTGCTTGTTATTTGATGATTACGTGCATATTAAATGCAATACCGCATGATCCACTGCCAAAAAAATCCCTTAACAGGGACAATTATTGCTAATGTAATTCGCTCACCAAAAACGTATTCTGCGTTTCATAAAGTGGGAACATGTTTTCTGCGTCCGCAGAGTATTTATTAGTAAGCGCCGTAAACCTCGCTCTCGTTTAATTTTAACACAGTGAACCGGGCCCGACTTAAACTCCGCCGAAATAAAAGCAGCTTCTTCCACTTTTTTTTTTTTTTTTTATTGACATGACTTTCATTTCCATCTCAGGGCCCAAAGCAAGTAAATGCTTTTTTTAAAGGGGGTTAATAAAAGCAGCTTCTTCCCCTTTTTTT